AGAGAGAGAGAGAGAGAGAGAGAGAGAGAGAGAGAGAGAGAGAGAGAGAGAGAGAGAGGGGTAATGGAAGCGTAGAGGAGGATCACGGGTTGCAGATTGTAATGGAAGAGAATAGCAGGACCAGTGGTTGCTGATTGTGCGGCCCACACTACATGAAAACTTTGCTTTGTGTGAAACGAGAGTGTCATGGTGTGTTGTACTGTGCCTTTCACATGGTGATGATGGAACAAAGACTGGTTAGGAGAGATGTGAGGGTTGGAACCTAGGTAGGTAAGCTTAGCGAAAAGTGGCGATTACACAATTCTTTCTGTGTTGTGTACTTGATCACGAGTCCTTATGGGTGTGGTTGAAGATCAAGTGCTGGTCAGCCAAATGTGGCAATTACTCATTCTTTCTCTGTTGTAATCTTGATCGTGAGTCGTTGTGTGGATGTCCGTCCAGCTGAGTTCTTGGGTATGGTTGGACATCGTGCTGTTGATCTCTGGACTCTGACTGGTGACATGATATACTGAATTCCCCTTTGCGAAGGCACTAGGAGGGTGTGATTTTGGTGGTGGTGGTTTGGTGACCGACAACCTTGGTAATTGGCTGCCAGTGACCGATAAAAACTATTAGAGATCGGCGGCTAACTTGGCTGTTCGATGGGATGGACCTGCTGGCACACTGGCATTCCAAACTTAGGGGTTGCAGCAACCTTGTCATCAGACTGGTTATGGGCGACCTCCCAAAAAATATCAACCCAGTGTCTGGCACGCTCACGACTGCACCAGAGATCAGTAGAGACACGGTATTTGTTTGAAGTCGAGGGCAGCAACATCTTATTTGTGGCCTTACGTGCGGCTTCTCGCAAACCACATCCTTTTTCTGGCCAACTTCCGCTCTGTTGCCAGTCTAGCTGGAGAGTGGCTGCAAAGCAGAGGGACCGATTGAGTAGTTCTGAAACTATGGACCGGAATGCTGACCCCTTGGTGGCGCCAATGCCAGGAGAAGGAGGAGGAGAAGGCGGAGCATGTCAACCTGCGGTTCTTGCCAGGGCGGAGGAGGCCTTGCGTCTAGAGAGCAAGAGGCAAATGGATAGCTCCAGGAAGGCTGATATTGGATCAGGAAATGTTTCAAATCCTCATGCCTTTGCTCGGTCCGGTTACAACAGTTTTCATTCCGATCCCTCAGTGTGTAAGGATTCAGAAACTGAGCAGGGTCAAGCTTGCAGACCCAGGGTTGTTGTAATTGGCGCAGGCGTGTCAGGTCTAACTGCGGCTGTTCAGCTTGCTGAAAGCAAGGCATTTGATGTGATTGTCTTGGAAGGCTCGTCACGGATTGGCGGAAGGATCTTTACTTCAGGGATTGGGGGAGAGAAGGTAGAGCTAGGGGCTACGTATATTCATGGCATCGAAGGCAGCCCAATTTATAAGATCGCTGAAGAAGCGGATTTGTTAAACACAGAAGGAAATTGGGAGACGGGAGAGAGCTCTCCCTCTGCTGTTCGGCGTCTCGGCGGGGCGGTTGTGGATAGACAGATCGTCAAGGAGATGCGAAAAGTTTACTCACAAGCACTTGCTCACTCTCATATTTGTCATAGTGAAGAAGAATCTCTTGGAGACTTCCTGGACATGCAACTTGAGCAGCATCTCGATCGATTAGGGGGAGTAGGCACAACGGGTTCCTGCTGTACGTCAACCCCTCCTTCCCTGAAAAGGCCTGGTCCGAGTGAAATGGCATCCGGCACTGACAACTCGGGCATGCTTTCAGGATCTGCAATGGTGTCTGAACGTGCACTGCAGTCCGTGCATACGAGTAACTCCCAGTCCAGTGCAGAGGGTTCTGGGGGATCCAGAGCACCGAGTCACGCCGGGCACACACAGGCTGCGGAGGAGGTATGTGCTGCAACAGAGCAGAGCATCCCCCTCACAGAAAGGGCCCCAAAACTCCAAACGGAAAGATGCCGTGACGAGAGTAATGTGAAGCTGGCAGGCCTGCGAAAAGCAGTGTTCAACATGATGAAGAATCGTGAAAAGACAATCTGTGGATGTGATGATGTGGGGCTTGTCAACTTCAGATCCTTCCGAGAGTATAGGGATTTTCCAGGTCAGCATGCGGTTATCCCAAAAGGGTATCAGGGAGTGGTCGAGTCTCTAGCACGCCGGTTGCCAGCAGGAGTCGTCCAATTTAACAAGCGAGTGGTTAGAATAGAGTGGGCTAGAACTGCTCAACATTGCCATAACAATAATGAAATCTCGAGCGATTGCGTTGTTGTGTGTGAGGGAGGAGAGAAGTTTGTGGCTGACCATGTCGTCCTTACTGTCTCACTGGGTGTCTTGAAAGCTGCTATCTGTCAGTCAAGGCTTGCAAGGACGGTCAAATTTGAGAGTCTTGAAGACGGTGATTCGCAAAGCGGTCAAGGAGGTGGTGGAAAAGGAAAGGAGAATACAGAAAAGGGGGTCATAGAAGGGTTTGTGGCTTGTGGCGATGTTGTTGGGTGGTATAATTTGCCAGATGACTCGGCAAAATCTCTTGCAAATGACGTCATTGTTTTTGACCCTCCTTTACCTGACTGGAAGATTCATGCCATAGAACGGTTGGGATTTGGAGTGGTAGATAAGGTCTTTCTTGAGGTCAGTGAGGGGGATGAAGAGGACTTAGAACCAATCCCAACGTGGATGGTGTTTGATGAAGAGGCGTCAAGGAAGCTAAAGAGGGTAGACGATTGCAGGGAAGGGACTCAAGCGGACATGCCCAGATGGATGGAACGTACATACGGGATTCATAGAACGAGCAATGATTCACACGTCTTGCTAACATGGGTAGTGGGGAAGGATGCTGTGGAGATGGAGATGGCAACTGATGACGAGGTGGGTCTTGGTATGCTCAGAACTATGAAAGCCTTCGGTGCAATACCACGTAAGGGAGGACATCGTGGCGATGTCAATAAGGAGGAGGAAGACAGCAGGGAAGAGAAAGTTCAAAAGGCAAGGGGCGGCAGTGAGAGGGCTGATAACGAGGATGAGGAGTCTGTTGGGGGGAAGCTGGATGATCTTGCAAAAATAGTCAAGACGGTGCTTAGAAGTAAGTGGTGGCGTAATCCTCTGTTTAGGGGGTCTTATTCCTATGTACCAGTGGGGTCAAGCGGTGAGGACATTGATGCTCTTGCTGAGCCACTCCCAGGGCCAAGTGAGGAGGGCAAGGCTGCATACGACAAGGAATGGGTGTCTAACGGGGACCTTGTTGGGGGTGAGGAGATCGAAGGCAAAACACAACCTTCGGAGGATAACCGAAATCAACTCCTCTTTGCAGGGGAGGCGACAGATAGACACCACTACTCCACAACCCATGGAGCTTATCTCAGTGGATTGAGGGAAGCAGACAGATTGATTTCTCATTACATGTTGAGACAGTTGACATGAGTGAGCTTGAACTAGCAAGCAGTTAGGTGGCCTCTCCCACTTACCAGTCCAAGCAGAATGTCATTCACTTCCTTCGGAGAGGCGCAATAAGACTCCACCAAGGAGATTGTCTGCCAGATCACTACTTGCACAGCTGGAGTGGGTGGCCCTTCTTACAGCAACTCAAGACGTGGACACCAAGGCGATTGTCTGCCGGATCACTACTTGCCCATCTGGAGTGGGCGGTCCTTGTCTCGGCAAGTCAAGACGTGGCTTGATGGATAGATTGATTCGATTGGATACAGGCCAGCTACCAAATGACAGCCCACCGGAAACGGTGGGAACCTGAGATTGGATCACTCTTAGTTATGGGTTGTTTCAGAACGTGGTACATACCAGCTCGCAGTAGTAGCTGGCATGGCTCTTTGCCTGCCAGCAGTTCAGTGGGAAACGGTGGGGGGCCTGAAATACTCATTGCCTCAATTGTGGAAAAGGCCCTGTCTTTGTCACGAGGATTGCGATGCGATCCTCCATCCAGATGCCTCTGTTTTACGGCATGTAGCAGGCGAGGCTTGTCTCAATTCTTCAAACCCTTAATGCAGTAGATCAGCTTGGTAGACTTTGCCCGCAGGGGGGTCTTTGCTCGAAGTGATGAGACTGGTGGTGGTGTAATGTACTGCCGTCAGTGCAGCTCAGAGTTGATGTGACATCTGAGGTGGGTTTTGTCAGAGGCGTTTCTTAAAACGGCCCATGAGTGAGGTGTTTCCAGAACTGGAAGCCAACTGGAAGGGAATGGCAGGGACATGTTGAGGAAGCAATCTTGAGATGCCTTTCCTACAAGCAAGGGGAAAAGACCAGGGTTAAAGTGCCATCCCATGAGCTTGACTGGAGGGAAATGGCCCTGGAATAGGAGGGAGGAAGGTTAAAGAAGGGTTGGAACTGGGGTGACTACCATGGGAGAACTGGGGCCTGGAAAAGGCTGACCAGGGTCCGAACTGGGCTGACTAGGAGCACTGGCTGAAGTGTGAAACAGGTCGACCACGAGCAACAGGGGTTTGAAGTTTGAACAGAGACACAGGTGCCCGTGCAAGATTCCTCAAGGAGCAGGAAGGGGTTTGAATGGAGACAAACAGGTTGACCACATGCATGCTGTCTGTTCTACTTGCCTGCACTTTGCTCTGTGAGGGAAGCGGCCATCTGGGGTCTGGAAAAGGCTGACCAGGGTCCGAACTGGGCTGACTAGGAGCACTGGCTGGAGTGTGAAACAGGTCGACCACGAGCAACAGAGGTTTGAACAGAGACACAAGTGCCCACGGAAGATTCCTCAGGGGTTTGAATGGAGACAAACAGGTTGACCACATGCATGCTGTCTGTTCGACTTGCCTGCACTTCGCTCTGTGAGGAAAGCTGTCATGTCTTTCCTACCAATGCCTGTCATGAGTGCTACAATTGGCTTGCTCTGCATCTAGAAGTGATTGAATAATAAACGAAATTGGCTGCATCAGATGTGATGCTATGCATCACCTCCCCATAGATGTAATCTGGCTGAGGCATTCATGGTTGCTTTGGTGGAAAGCACTGCATTGCAGGTATTTGCTAGTGGCGTGGAGGATGTTCTTTAGCTTGCAGTTTGCAGATAGAATCGGAGACGTGATTACGAGTTCCCGTTTGCCGGTGGTACGGGAGAGGTCAACACAGGCGCTACTCTTACGAGGAGGCGGCGCTGTCAGGCACACATTTCAGTCAGTGTAAGGAATTATTCCGATTCAGATCTCAGTTTCACTGCTTCTGATCGTGGAACAGAGATTGCTACTGGAAACTCGTCTGTGAAGCGAATGTAATGCATCCAATGTGCGTGGGATTCAGACGTGAAGTGCGGCTTGGCAGCAGCGACCAGGACGCCAAATGGTGGAGTGGATTGGGAGAGGTCCATGGTGCTTCAATCATTTGTGAAGCGGATGTAATGCATCCTTCGACAGCGGTGCTCAATGCGTGGGATTCAGACGCGAAGTTCGGCTTTGGCAGCAACGACCTGGACGCCAAATGTTGGAGTGGATTGGGAGAAGTCCATGGTGTTGCAATCATTAGCTTGCTGTGTGGGTGTGCGCAGGTGAGATCATGACTTGCTGTAAGCTAGTGGAACGGAAGAGGTCTATGCTGGTCATGTTCTCAAGAGCACGATTGAAGAGCTCCGGGGAGTTGTGATTGCCCGCTTGCTTGATGTGATTGTGTGGATTGGGACGCATCCATGCCGACAGATCGCCACTTGTTCTTTGCTAGTAGAATGGGACAAGCTCATGCAGCTGAGATCATTGACTCTCTGGCTGAGGTCCTTTGATGCATGTGCAGATCTTCATGTTGAAGTAATGGTCTGTTCTTGTGTACTATATATACTACACTAAAGAATGGTGATGAAGGATGGCAGCAGAATACCTTCTTGTCTCACCCACTGCTAGCACAGTGTTTTGAGAGGTTGGTGCACACACGACTCATTCACTTGCTTGCCGCCACCTCTCAAGTTATTAATGAACCTGCAGCGAGTCTGCGGAGGCTGCTGAAATAGAGATTGCTGATCCAGGCAAGCAAGCCATCAGTACGGCACCACAGGCGATGCGTTCAAAATTGAACGAATCCCATTGGCTATGGATTTGATCGAATTGATCATCTGTAGACTCTGTACCATAGTGATTCGTGTTCCTTGAAGAATGCAGGCAGAGGCCCTCCTCGTACCCGTTGCCAGTGTTTACAATAACAAACCCCNCCCCCCCCCCCCCCCCCCCCCCCTCCCTTCCCTTACCAGGGTTTACGCAACATGGACCACTTACTCTGAAAAAAATGGTTTGACTAGCAGTCCGCATAACAGTGTGAGGCTGCCTTTGGCTTAAGCAGGCCCCAGCATGACAATCAGGGGGGTGAATCTTGATGCAAGTGTGAAAGCTTAGTTGTGACATCCGGGAAAGGTGGCCGATCCCTGCAGCTTTGATCCCCACTCTGCAGTGCAAATGCATCCCATTATCTTCATTAATCTCACTCCAGGCAGCAGAGATGGGGTAACTACCACTTGGATGCAATTCTCTGTGCAGAACGTGAACGTTGCGGGAAACAGACACTCTGATGAGTCTGATCCCTCATCCAGGTCCCTGAAGAAGTGGCTGAAACAACCTGTGCAACTCAGGCGTCAGTGGTGCGAAGTGTCAGAGCTAAGAACGATCCTGGTCGACTAGGTGACTTGGTTCAGACGCATTTGACATGGATCGTCGGACCTGCACGGCGGCAGGCTGCCCTCCAGTATCAAGGAGACCTGCTGGTGCTGCAAGGAATTGACAGGCTTGGACAGAGCTTATGGAAGACTGGAAGAGTGTTTGGCTGCTCTGCGAACGTTTCTGTCTACCACTATTTCTTTCCCCCGACTTGAAAGTACGGTCGTTACGGCTGTATGTGGGACAACCTTCAGTCGAAAAATACAGCGACAATGACCGTACGACGTATGTTCTATTCGGGGGAAGATGGTAGTGTGCTGCTTAAGCAACACCCCTATTACTTTGCGGGAGAAGTGAGACAGGAGTCGGTGGTGGGGATGGTTGATGCCTATTATTGTGGTGTCACATATATCTGCATTTCTCCACAGTAGGCAGAAGTCAGCCCGGAGTCGCCTGACTGCCTTTCTTGTAATGCGCCTGGTGTTCTGGCGAGTGGGCAATCAGCAGCCATGTCCTTCCGTATATGTTTCGGTTTTCTGGCTGACAGTAAAGACATCAAGCATGCAAATTCAGATTTCAGGTTAAGTTCAGACTCTTCAGAGGCATGTTCATGTATCTGGTTTTCAGCATAATAGTCAAGAGAGCAAGGTGTGCTGCTTCCTTGAGTGCGAAGATGTCTGTGAGTATAGCCTCTGTATATTCGTTTGCGGACAACAGTGCATCTGGTTTTCAGCGTGATGCTCAAGAGAGCAACGCCTTCGACGTAGAAAAAGAGGGGAAGCCTAGAATTATGTCGCGTAGAGAGCACTCGGGAAATATGAGGTCGTACTGTTGGGTCGACATGACGATAGAGAGTTTCCTTTCAAATATGTTTAACAGATGGAGATTAAGGAGCAGCAGATTAAAGAATCTCACAGTAGAGAGAGGGTACTGTGTTGTATACGTAGGCACCAACTGTACAATGCCATGTATGTCCGCACCATGGTAATCATTCAAATGTGTTCATTGGAGGGGGAATACGCAGCAGCAGATTCAGGGATCAAACAATAATCAAACAGTAAACAAACAGTAATCAAACAGTAGAGAGAGGGTTCTTTGTTGTATACGTAGGCACCAACTCGATTGTATAATGCATGTACGCCCGACACGCTGGCACTGCAGCACTCAACTCGAGTACCTTCCATGAGAACTTTGGATAAAGTTCTGAACAATATATCCTACCTTCTTCACCTGAATAGAATGCCCCATCATTATCGCCGTATTTGGTGTAACTTTCAGTCTAGATGAAACGATAATGACTGGGCGTTCTGTTCGGGTGAAGACAGTAGTATTTTTTTTAGGTATTTGCTGCGCTTTCTAAGACGACAGCAGCGCTCCATCCAACAACAACACATAGTCCTTGGTCCTCCTCGTAAGTACTCTTTCGTCATTATAGTGTTATGTGTGCCTCTTTTATCACCGCATATAATCAGTACTCGTACCCCCTGGTCATGAGCTTTTTGTGTATTTACCTGAACTTCTGTATAAATAGAGGGATATTTTCGTCCGAAGCTGGCTGTAATTGTGGTCAAATGCATCGAGGGAAGTCTCAGTGTGAGTGTACCCTGAGAACCCATACAGTTGTTCCCATTTCTGTGGCTGTCTGAGAGTCTGAACACCTTTTATTTGTTTTGTTTTTTTTTTTTGAGATCTTTTGATTGTTGGTTGGGCAGGCTACAGGATCATTCTGCACTCGACTCATATTGATTCGCTGATGAGATGATCAACAGGCCACATAAAAGAATATCCTGTGAAACAAGGGATTCCACCGGGGCTCGTCAGCACCATGCGTCTGACGTCTCGACCTTTCTGGTCACTGGTGACGTGATTCATGATGGCTCGGGACGATCTTCTGGGCAAAAACTTGGCATGGGATCTCTAATTACTCCTTGCCAGTCCTGGCAACCGGACTGCTCCCCACAAATAGATTGGAGCTGTGTGTAAAAAAAAAAAAAAGAAAAAAGAAAAAAGAAAGTTCCTGATATTCATGAACCATCAGTTGAATGAATTGGCTGTCAGTGAGTAGAAAAGATGTAGGCTTCAACAGCTTCAGGATGTTGGAGTACGGTTGATGGATGGGGAAAGGAACGTGCTTGGTTGTTGCAGATCTGGTTTGGTTTTGGAATTGGATGTGCACAAACGGCTCTGCAACCTGAGGTTTCACCATACGGGGAAAAAATGTATTTGACGAATGTTTGAGCTGTTAAGGTGTTGAGGTCAACGATTATTGACTCTGTGCCAGTCTGTGGTGTGATTGAATCATTGGAATGCTCAATGGACCGAAGGTTGTCTGCAAGGTGTCTTCACGCTGATCTACCCAACGCTCATGCTCAAGTGATTATCTTCTTACACCACCAAGTTTCATGAACTTTTTGGCTACTCATTGCTCCCTACAGCAGAGCCCACCCTTTTCTTCTAGAGTCCAGAAGAAAGAGCACTGTCTTTTTGAAATGTTCAAAACCTGCCAGATGTATCTGATGCTAAAGTCACAGTGACAATAACACTTTCTTTATTTGTATTTGTATTTGTGTGTGTGTGTGTGTGTGTGTGTGTGTGTGTGTGTGTGTGTGTGTGTGTGTGTTGCATACTAGGGAATACTTGACCAAGTATGGGCAGAACCAAAGATCAACCAATATAGGATGAACATGTATGCAGCAGAAGTCTGAGAAATGGACTGACTCACATAGACTGAACTCACCCAAACATCACTCAACACACAAACAATCGTAGAATGGTGGGGTCTGAAGCCATACATAGACGATGCTTCAGGCCCCGTACAACCATACACAGATGAATGGTGGGAGGAGAGACGATGGAGGTGGGAGAKATGGGCAGCGCCAGATGTCACCGAGATAGAATCCAGAAAGTCACCGATATGGTAGCCCAAAATGTCACCTAACAAAATCAGAATGTCGTAGACACAAGTCACCATTGTCGGAGGTACAGTATCCAAATGTAACCGATGCCCGATCTGTGATGCCGCCAGGTATCACTCCCAACTATCTCCAATGTCTCGAATCTGGTAAGTATCACAGCCTCCTACCACCGAAGTCCAATCACTGATCTCTGTCCAACTCGTATCAATAGTATCCATTCTGAAGAAGAAGAAGAAGAAATCTGAAGAAGGAGAAGACGAAGAAATCTGAAGAAGAAGAAGAGAAGTCTGAAGGAGAAGAAGAGAAGCGGGGCAGAGCATTGGCGGAGATGGCGAGTAGCTCTAGGCCCTACCTGATGGTACAAGGTGGCGCCTTGGCTGCTGCTGTGCAGCTGGGAGCTATGGCTCTCGTGGCTGCTGTCAGGTAAGTCTCCCTCCTCGCTCTCTCCTCTCCCTACAGCCAGCGCTACACCTAGCGCTGCTGTCTAGCACTGCGCTGGACCGAAATAGCTCAGCAGCGTTCCTCAATGCTGCTCTCCTCTGAAGTCCCCGAAATGGCCGTTGGCTGGGCCTAAGTACCGGCCGGCAGCCAGTTCGGCCTCTGCCTCCCAAGGTGCCTCCGATCTGAACCGTCGGATCTGTCGCCCGATCCGTGGTTCAGGTCGGACCGGTTTTCGGGAAGCAGGCTGCCTCAACGGCGGCCTGGTCCAAACGAAAACGTTTGGCCATTTCCCGCCCAGGGCCTGTGGCTGCAGGGCCTGGTCTAGAACCGGTTGTGTAAGGCCAGAAGGGAGGCCTAAAAAGGTCCGGCCTTTGGGCCGGCCTGGCCTGGATTATCACGTCCAGGCCCTCAGAATCCCTCAGCCTAGTTGTCGGGCCTGAAAGGGCCCGTGTGGAATGCAGTATGTAACACACTCCGCCCCTTGAAAGACCAAGCTACCTGCGAGGGCGAAGTTGTCTGTCCGATACCTGGGTGGGTTGGGTGGGACGAATTTTGTCCTTGGCGAGTCACCGGTTCTCGTAGTCAAAGAAGATGAGTGGTGTAGATGCGCGGGAGATCCAGCGCATGTCATCCGGGGCACATTGCTTGAATGTGACTTGGTATTGCATTGGCTTGTTGTCGTACTTGCGATGCGTGATGACACGGTCAACTTCCTGATGTCCGTCCATAGAGGGCGGATCCTGTGATCGTCGGCCCGGAAACTCATCCTCGGAAGGTGGCGTATACACGGCCAGCTTTGACGCATGGGAAACCAGGTGCACGCGGAGGTGCGGTGGGATGGCAATCACACAGAGGAAGGGCCAGCGGGGTCGTTGCCTGCTGCAGAAATTACCTTCCATGGTCCAAACCATTTCGGGAGGAGTTTTCGCGAGACGTCTTGCTCCAGCGGGAATTCCTCAGCGAGGACCCAAACAAGGTCGCCCTCGCAGAAAGGACATGGGAGTCGATGTCGGTTAGCTTGCTGCTGCATGCAGATTTGAGCCTTTTGTGTGTTCGCGTGGGTTTTGATCAGCAAGTCCCCGTACTTCCGAACGAAAGCGGGAGAGCAAGCGACGTCGATGTCGGCGGTCCGTGGTAAAAGAAGATCGGCAAAGACTCGGGCTTTCTCGCCATCGGTGATGCAACTCGAATGAAGTGATGTAGATTGTCGGGTCAGACCGAAGTCTGCATCACTTCGGTGCACCCGACAATCTGCATCTCGAACGAGCGCATCAGACCGAAGTGTTATCGACAAAGACTCGAGCTTTCTCGCCACCGGTGATGTCGAGAATTCGGTCAACCCAATCTTTCTGGTCAGGACGGATGTGTGTACGTAACATCATTTGAGCGGTCTGATGCGCTCGTTCTGACTGTCCATCCGTCTGCGGGTGTCGTGCGGAACTCAGCTTCATAGTCGAACCGGACTCCGTCACGAGGGAAGTCCAAAAGGATAACATGAAGCGAGTGTCTCTGTCGCTCACAATGTCTTACGGAACACCATGGCAGGTAATCCAGCCGGTGTGCAAGAGTTGTGCGAGCTCGGGGGCTGTAGCACGGTACTTGCAGGGAAGAAAACGAGCGTACTTGCTCAAACGGTCAACGACCGTGAGGATACCGTAATGACCGAGGCGATCGCGGGGAAACGGGCTTGTAACATCCATAGCAATGGAGAGGCGCGGTGCCCGAGGGATTGGCATCGGTTTCAGTTCGCCATAAGGGACCTGAGATATACCTTTGTTACGACGACAAACTCCGCATGACTCAATGTACCTCGTGACGTTGTGAAGAACGTCGGGCCGGTGAAAACACTGGCGAAGGCAGGCCAATGTGTGAGTCACGCCGAGGTGTGTCGAAAGTCGTGCGTCGTGGAATTCGCCAAGAAGGCGAGTCCGCAGGATGCGATCTTGGGGCACCACTAACAAGTCCTTTCCTCTCGTGTGGAGGAGTAAGAACCCGTAGGAGATACGATAGTGACCAGCCGGCGGGTGATCCGATGAAAGCTCCGCGTAGAGCGTGGAGTATGTCGGGTCGGACTTGTAGCCGTTGACGAAGTGCTGCTGCAGATCGTCGTCGAGTTGGAACGTCGTAGTCACTAGGGCACAAAAATTGTGCTGTCGTGAGAGGGCGTTCGCTGCTCGGTTGGCGGGACCGGGAATGTGGCATGGGTCAAGGTCGAACTGGTCGGTGTAATACATCCATCGACCGATCGTGCTAGTGACCGTGTCCTGCGTTTTGTAGTAGGTCAACGGATTGTTATCCGTGTTCTATTTAAAACGCCGACGATCGAGAAGAACGTGGCGCCACCGTTTGAGAACGGTGACGAACGCGAGTAACTTTTTCTTCCTAGCGTCGTCGAAACTGTTGACGAAAGGCACCTTTTGGGAGAAGTACTTAACCGGGTGTCAACCGTCTGGGTGACATTGTTCTAATGCCGCACCAATACCGTATCCCGAAGCGTTCGTAGTCACTTGGGTGGGTAGGGTGGGGTCATAAATACGGAGGGCCGGTGCGTCTTGCATCGCCGCCTTCAACGTATTGAACGCGCCACGAGCGGCGTCGTCCAACTCAAAGGGTACCTTCGCGGACTGAAGTCTCGACAAAGGGGCTGCCACTTTGGAGTAAGACTCGACGAAGCGCTGATAGTATCCAACCAAACTCATGAAAGAGCGTACGTCCGTCGTGCAACGGGATTCCGACCATGCCTTTCGGTGTCACATAATGGCCTAAGTACTCAAGCTCTTGTTTGGCGAATTCGCAATTGTCGCGGTTTGCTTTGAACTTGGCTACTCGCAAACGATCCAAAATTGTACGAAGGTGTACGAGGTGCTCGTCAAGCGTCCTACTATAGACCAAGATATCATCGAGGTAGATGAGGACAGTACGATTGAGCAAGTCTCGAAATTTCGTCGTCATGGTTGCTTAGAAGGTTGTCGGGGCATTGGTGAGTCCAAATGGCATCACGACCCACTCAAAATGCCCATACTGCGTTTTGAAGGCGGTCTTGTACCGGTCTTAAGGCTGGATTTCAATTTGGTGGTAACTCGACTTCAAGTCCAACTTCGAGAAGTACGACGCGCCGCCTAAACGCTCAAGGAGATCATCAATCCGAGGGAGAGGGTCGGCGTTCTTTATGGTTTGTGCGTTAAGTTTTCTATAGTCGATGCATAAGCCGTAGGTCCTTGTTCTTCTCCTGGACGAAAAAAAACGGTGCACCGTATGGAGAACAACTAGGGCGAATCCAGCCTTCGTCGAGAAGGTCGTCGAGTTGTGCGCGAAGCACCTCGAGTTCCTCTTTGCTCATGCGGTAAATGCATCCACGTGAGGGACGACACCCGCCTCGAGAGTAATCCTATGACGTATGGGCCGATCCGAGACCGTTTCGGTGGGAACCTCGAAGACGTCTCCATATCCGTCTAAAAGGTGAGTAATGTGTGGGCTAGGCGGCGACGCGGCTGGTCCGTCCGGCGAGGGGAGGGCATGGAGGAAAACAACTCCCATCTCCTCTACGTCATTCCGAGCTATGGCGTCGCGAGAGAGATGGTTAATTGAGGCTATATATTTCATCGAATCTATATCGAAAACAGTCTTATATGTGGTACACCAACGGTAAACTCTTCAATTTCATGAAAATACACCTCGGTGTTTAACTTCGTCAATTTTTTGCCATCTAGTATATCATATCCCAAAGTGCTTTCGGTGTTTCGGTATGGAAAACACACTTCGGGTTTTCGGTGTTTAACTTAGTCGATTTTTTATCATCTACTGACATTATATCCCAAAGTGTTTTCGGTGTTTCGGTACCGAAAACGCACTTCGAGGTTTCAGTGTTTAGTATATCATATCCTGAAGTGCTTTCGGTGTTTCGGTACCCAAAACGCACTTTGGGGTTTCGGTGTTCAACTTAGTCAATTTTTTATAATCTACTGACATTATATCCCAAACTGCTTTCAGTGTTTCGGTACCGAAAACGCACTTCGGGATTTCAATGTTTAACTTAGTCGATTTTCTACCATCTAGTATATCATATCCCGAAGTGCTTTCAGTGTTTCGGTACCGAAAACGCACTTCGGGGTTTCGGTGTTTAACTTAGTCGATTTTCTATCATTTATTGACATTATATCCCAAAGTGCTTTCGGTGTTTCGGTACCAAAAATGCACTTCGGGATTTCGGTAACTTAGTCGATTTTCTACCATCTAGTATATCATATCCCGAAGTGCTTTCAATGTTTCGGTACCGAAAACGCACTTCGGGGCTTTGGTGTTTAACTTAACCAATTTTCTATCATCTACTGACACATATCCCGAAGCGGTTTCGGTGTTTCGGTGTCGAAAACGCAGTTCGAGATTTCGGTGTTTAACTTGGTCGATTTTCTATCATGTACTAACATTATATACCGAAGTGCGTTCGGTGTTTCGGTACCGAAAACGCCATTCGGGATTTCGGTATTTAACTTAAGTCGACTTTCTATCATCTACTAACATTATATCCCAAAGTGCTTTCGGTATTTTGGTATCGAAAACGCACTTTGGGATTTCGGTGTTTAACTTAGTCGATTTTCTACCATCTGGTATATCATATCCCGAAGTGTTTTCGGTGTTTCGGTACCGAAAACGCACTTCAGGGTTTCGGTGTTAAACTTAGTCGATTTTTTACCATCTTATATATCATATCTCGAAGTGCTTTCGGTGTTTCGGTGTCGAAAACGCACCTCGAGATTTCGGTGTTTAACTTAGTTGATTTTCTATCATCTACTAACATTATATCCCGCAGTGCTTTCGGTGTTTCGGTACCGAAAACGTACTTCGGGATTTCGGTGTTTTAGTCGGTTTTCAATCATCTGCTGACATTATATCTCGAAGTGCTCTTGGTGTTTCGGTACCAAAAACACACTTCGGGATTTCGGTGTTTAACTTAGTTGATTTTCTATCATCTACTAACATTA